ATAAATTTAAATCCATTATGGAAAAAGAAAGCCCCTATTTAAAAACCAGAAAACTGCAGTGTTCGACTGTTTGCTCGGGCTTAATAGATTGGTATATTTGTTTTAATAAGCAAGCGTTTCTTATTCTTGTGAATTCTCCTTAAACAATTGGCCAGCGTCCGAACGCTAACATCCTCAATCTTGTCTTGTTAATATTCCCTACGTATTCTCCCTAGACTAGAAATAAGATCGAAAAACTTTCTCATATAGCCTATTGCAATTTGTCTCTTGACCACTGCTGTTCACTTACGTATGCTGAATGGTGTCTAGTAATCTACGAAATGCTTACGTGAGACAGGCTGCAAGCTAGTTTAAATACCTAGCTCAGAATTGCAAAGAAAATAGGATGTATATGTTAGGATGCAAAAAAAATTTTCTTATTGAAGAGAGTGCAGAGTTTTCTTGTAACGATCTCGTTAAGCCCTCCTCAACCACTAAACGCTGAATAAATACATTTTAACAGCTTATCTCTTATGCTGGTTGTTTTGACTGATTTTTAACTTATAAAAAAGCCGTTATTTTAAGTGCTAGAGTAAGCAAATAAATATTGTCGTAGATTTGGTCAGGAATAAACAAGCTCCGGAGCCAAATTCGTATGCGTACCCTTTTCTAAGTTGACTCATGAAATGTAGCTTTAAAAAACTATTCATCGAGATTTTGTCATCGTCAAAGATTTTGCAAAAAACAAGTCAACATGAACTTAAATATATTGACAATATAGTTAGAAGCACATTTTTATCGACTTGATAAATATTAGCATGCATTAAGTATTTAACAACCACAAGTATTTTCTCTACTTCATTTTATCCTTGCGATACATCGGCTCCGAGAGTTCACATCTTGGAAAAGATCAATATGCATTCGCCTGGTCTTAGATGAGTCACGAGTGAACTTAGATGCATATAATGAACAAAGCAGAAGTCCACTCTAACCAGTATAGTTTAAATTCTCAGTTCGTTGAGTCTGTCTAGATAATAGTCATCTAAATCTCTTCCTATTATCTAATATAGCCTTATAAAATGTGATAAATCTTGGGTAATCACAATTTGTACAGAATTGACAGTGGTTCTCCGTTTGTTGCGCTCCTTCGAAACCCAGCTTCTCTTCATTTCTCAGTGTTTATAATGCTGTAAGCTAAAATAAAGGGTAGACTTCGTCGAAATATTCTGATACCTAAAAATCTGATTTACTGTCATATCTGATTTATTTTTCCCGGCAGTGGAACATTATCCTCAATAATCTGATTTGAAAAAGCATAAAATTTACACAAATAGCCAAACTAGATTGTGAGATAACTAGTTCTAAAAAAGCTTTTTATTACCTTTTTAAAAGTGAGAAAATGTAGTATATGGATGGTATGAAAACCAAGATGGCGTGGCCTTTAGTATGGTCGCTGTCTTTTTTGGTTGTATAGAAGTTGTTTGCCCTTGTTACCGTAACTTGATCGTATTTTCAGGAAGACCTAGAGGAGCGCGCCTACTCGGAGTATGTATGGTAATTTCCAGAGTTGGACCGAGGACCTGGTACATTACCAGCCGCTTGGCCAATATTATTGATGAGCCTTGCTGTTCTTAGCACAACATTACAACGGGACCATCTATGAACAAATACTTGGACTTCCTATGAGATCGCCGCTCTCACCACTTTTAGAAGACGTATACATGAACAAAATAGAAGAGAATTTCAAGATGTCACCGCTACAACCAGCAGTTCTCATGCGGTACCTGGATGATTACTTCACCTTTTGGTCACACGGAAGAGAAAAACTGGAAGATTTTCTGAAGTTTATAAACCAGATTGATGAACAAATTAAATTCAAGATGGAAGTAGAGGAAGGTGAGCGGTTACCGTTCCTGGATGTTGAAGTGATTCGCTTTAATGAGACGCTCAAGAAGAAATTGTTCAGAAAGAAGTTTTGCGCCGGGATGATACGCAATTGCCAGTCCCATCACAATTACAGGTTGAAAATAGGAAAAACGAGGAGCATTATCATCTGAATCTTATCTTTAATGGATGTGCCATTCAGGGAGGAGGAGTTGGACAAAGTGACTAGCATATTCCTAGACAACGGCTACCCAAGCGAAGTTATACAAAGAAACATACGGGCTGTGAAAAGCCTATGACAGAACGGGGACTACGTAAGAACGTTAAGGACAGAGAAGGATTCATAAAAGTGGATATGTCTACCTTCTTTCGAACTAACGCGAATACTACGGCCAATACTAAGGAAATGGTACACCCGGGTGTTCATGAAGGAAAAAAACAGCACTCTTCACAAGTCTACCGACACAACATGAAAGGGTGGACAAATCGGATTGTTCAGGAGTTTACTGCATATCATGCGGTGCTTGTGAACAGAAATATATTGGCGCAACACGGAGAAAAACTAGCATACGAATCAAGGAACATCAAAGGCTCTGCAGGAAAATGCATACCGAAAGATCAGAATTAGCAGAACACATTGCACAGACAAGGCAACAAAAAAAGGGCTTCATACGATGAAGATAATGGAGGTCATTGACATACTAGCGGGAAAAAACGAATGAACAGGAGATTGAAGGCAGAGTTAGCAATAGCCTTGGCTAGTGCTTAAGGAAACTCGAGGTAAACAAGAATACAGGAAGACCAGCAAAAAGGATATATGCGAAGAAAAGTTGGGTGTCGACGAATCTCTTGTTTCGTAATTGTTGAGCTTACTTCCATTTTGAGTGAAATATTTGGCTGAAGAGATTCGAAGGTCGGTTCCAACAGAAGACTACGGCGGATGATAGCTTGCTCTGATGATATTCGTCACATGACAGACGAAAGCCTAGCACCTTTTCACCGGAATCGAAGTAGATCCCCTCGGAAACAGCGTCAGCATGAACCTTCCAGTAAGGCCAATCGACAGTTTGTCAAGAGGAATCCGACGTGTCTTCTGGTGAAACCGACCTTCGAATCTCTTCACCCAACACTTTCACTCGAAATGAGAGTAGGCTCAACAGCAAAAAGGAGACGCATGGATCAAGGATCTATCGCTAACCGAAAAAAAAGGGATCGCAATGAAAAAAGGTGGGGGTAGGAAAAATTGCGGAACTCAAGCAAATACTTTATCAGTGAGTCATATCTGATCGAAGAAACCAGTAAAAATCTGGGGGCAATTAGGGAACTAAGCAGACGGATAAGCACAACCGTCACAGGAATTCGGCATTATGGCCAAAATCTACTAAAAATCCACTTGAGATGCCGCATGCGATCAGAGCTGGGCTTCCCCAGTTTGCTCAGGTGACACGGGTTGAATCAAGGAGGGGATCCGTGAATGGAAGGCCTGATATCTGCAAGCATGACAATCAGAGCTTAGGTGCTCTGCTCAATGTAGCGGCAGTGTACATGCTTCTAGGGCCTTGAGAAATAGCGCCTTGAGTGAAATGCACGCTGGGACTGGAACCGAGTGAAATTGGTCAACCGGAAAGATAAGGAACGGATCTACGAGACAATGAAAGGATCCGGATTGGAAGCCCGAGTCGAATAAGCCGATAGAAAGAGAGGGGGACGGGGTAAATAAGAAATGTAATGAGGCCACACTAGATTTGCCACACATTTTGACGAGTAGAATGTAAACAAGTGAGAAGTTGTGATAGAGCGGGAGTTGGATAAGAGAGTAAAGAGTAGATAGATTGGCGATAGTGTAACCGTTTTCGGCAGAACTTTGATCGAGGGATTGACTTCACTTGTCTCTTTTGCGAGTTTGTAGCTTGGTACGTAAAATAGTAACACTCACAGATGATGTCTACTATGATGCCGGCGAAATAGCTGAAAATGTACCAAGTCCACAGTGTGATGCTGGGAATTATGATAACTACTATGGCAGAGGACTTCGGAAAAGGTACGTTCAACTAAGTCGCCCTGACAACAAGACCAAGTTGAAAAAACGAGGTCAACCCCCTTTTATAAATCGAAATGAGACTGCGACTATACCGAGGGCCACACCATTTTGTTCTTCCTATCTTCTATAAAACACATATGCCTATTGTATACTTATTTGCAAAGTGCGAAAATATCGATCAAGTATTGTGTAGTTATTGGCGTTAGCTTAACGACAATTGGATGCAAAGTTATGCTGAATCACGTGCTTAAAAATCAGATAGGATAAAGTTTTCGAAGCTTACAAGCCAATATTGACCTGTTTACTGATCTTTCAAAAACGGCATCGGTATGCAATTAGACAAAGTTTATAGATGCGTATAGATACATGTCACTTGCTCAAAGAGTGACAACACGGCACATATATATTCCCTATACCATTTGACAAAAATATAATATGCATCAAAATAATTTACATAAAAAATGTATCCTTTTGAGTTTAGAGCACTTGTTCAGTCATAAATCAGGTTATAGGAATCTTCTGCTTGCCAGGTATATGGCTGCTTCCGATTTCATTGCCTAAGCTGTCGTCAATTAAGTCACCTTGAGCTTAATGCCTAAAAGATAATGCTAAATGTGCAATCAGGTGAGGCTTCAGCTTCAGCTTCATAACTGGGAATAGACTATGTTTCTATGCAAAGGATATTGCCAATATATTAGACAAAGCGCATAGCTAATATGGAACTATCTGTTCAAAATAAAATTCATATATATAACCTAGTAGAGGAGGAGGAATTAGTAACGCACTACTTATTTAAGGAATATATTCTAGACAAAGAAATAAAAAATTGTAGTTAGTGGATTTATTTTAGCCAAATTCGAATAATTAGGACCGAAATCATTTTGCAAAATAGGCCACAACCGAAAGGTTGTCGCCTTCTGTTTGGTCGCAGAAGCAGTGTTTTATCTTTTGGCGTTATAGAAAAGTTTATAGAGATGACCATTTTTCAACAGTTCAACGTGATTGTATAATTAATAAATTTTACACTATATCCGCCGAAATAGGAGCCGGTTTGGTTCTTATAAACTTAAACTTTACTATCGTTAAATAAAAGCAATGTGCCAATATATCTTAAGTATATATTTATACGATACAATACATTTTTTAAATAAAAATTTTTATAATAGCACGTTTTATTAAGTAAGTTATATATATATATATATATATATATATAAAGTTTTGTATATAAGATTGAGGAAGGTAATTAATTACTAAGTACGCTTAGATAAATGTAAAATTAGCATATGGGAAATATTTAGAAAATCCCTAAATATGTAGTATGAGTTCGAGCTAATGGAAAGGGAGGCCAAGACTGGAATCGAAATGCCTATTGAGGGCGCATTAGTATTAAACTTCAGAGAAACCTTATTATATAAGATGTA